CATGCTGCTGTTTCTGTTGCAGGGGTGGCTGCTGCCATTGCCGCCATTGCCTCCGCCTCTGCAAGTTCCCAAGGCGGAAATGACGGGAAAGATATTCCGAAGACCGATATGGCTTTGGCCTCCGCTGCCACATTGGTCGCCGCTCAATGCGTGGAGGCCGCTGAGGCCATGGGAGCAGAACACGATCACCTTGCCTCTGTTATAAGCTCCGCCGTCAATGTCAAGTCCGCCGGCGATATTATGACACTCACCGCCGCCGCTTCAACAGGTTGTAGTGGCAGCCTAATACATATTTTAATTTCTTAGAAAAATAACACGCGTGTTGTGAATTTTGTAGCTTTAAAAGGAGCTGCAACGCTTAAATCGAGGGCCATGAAGGAAGTGTGGAATGCGGCGGCTATAAACCCGACGGAGAGAGGAATCGGAGCATCCAGCAGCTATGGTACTGGGAATATTTTTGAGAGTCAAAAATTTAGCGGCGACCCTCACCCGATTCAACACGACTTCGATCTTGTACGGGACTGTGAATCAAACCATCAAATTCAACATGAAGATAATTTCGTCACCGTACGATTGCTCGCTGATGGCTGTGAGCTTCTTAAACGTACTCGTAGCGGTAAGTTTATCTTTTCTCAATTCATCAAATTTTTAATTAATTAATTTTTTTAGTTTTGTTTTGACAAACCAGTAATCCTCGTATTGCAGACGATCTTCATTGGAAAATTGTCTCTGTTTATATCAACAGATCAAATCAGGTTTTTTTTTTACAAAAATTCTAAAATGTCAAATTTGTTTGATGAAAAAAATGGGAAATTTTAATTTTTATTTTATATTCCTTTGTTACAGGTTGTGTTGAAGATGAAGAGCAGGCACGTGGCTGGGGCTATAACCAAAAAGAAAAAGAGTAAGTTTTGTTTATTAATTAATTACATTCTCATATTCCGAATATTCCGAATATTCAAGTTAATTGGATTCCTGCACAGATGTGGTGGTGGATGTAGTGAAAGATGTTCCGGCATGGGCAGGGCGGCACCTGCTGGAGGGCGGCGATGACCGCCGCTACTTCGGGCTGAAGACACTGATGCGAGGGGTGGTGGAATTCGAGTGCAGAAACCAGAGAGAATATGATATGTGGACACAGGGAGTTGCCAAGCTTCTTGTAATGGCGGCTGAAAGGACTTGTATGTTCCAAGATCAACCTGTTTGAACGAGGAACACANAATTTTATTTACAAAGTTACCCATTTGCCCATTTACATCAATTTCATTTCACATATACACATTCTATCACTCGAATCGACTCTCAAACTTTTATTTAATTTAAAAATGTGACAGTTTTTTTATCTTTTTTCAAGTTTAAGACTGGAAAGTTTGAGAATTTGAATCTATACCCTCTGAATCAAAGTTGCATTCCATGTCTTAATCCACCCCTAGTAGATATTATTCTATTTAGATTGGACTTTCTCTCAAGATTCTAAAACGTGTCTATTATATTATAGAGAGATTTCCACTTCCTTTAAGGAATATTTCGTTTTTTTTGGTATATTTAATTTAGTCACAAAAAAAAAATATATATATATATATATTAAATACTTTAAAATATTTGTTAATTCTCTTATTGTGAAACGGCGACGTTTGTTGAAAACAATAGAGAGTGAAGAATAAAAAAAAAAAAAATTAATTTCCAATTCTCTCCTTTTTTTACATTTTCCAATGCAAAAAGCCACCAAATTTCAATATTGCTTTATTTGAAAATTTATTTTGGATTTTCTTTATATAATTGAGCTGAATCACTGTTTTGAATCAGCTTTTTGTTTTTTATTTATATTTTTTTTATACATTTTTTAAATCTGTACTTCTATTTTTACTGTTCATACTCTGTTCTTGTGGGGAAGCTTCACAAAAATTACACGTGACCTCTAATTATGAACTAATTGCTAAATTTTTTTATTTTTAAATTACAAACCCAATAAATTAATATAATGTTCAAAGATGCATTAAATTAATTCTCAGCTTAGTTTCATTCATACCAACACCACCAACAATAATAACCAACCAGAAGATCAATATATACACATAAAAACAGCATTTTTTTAAAAATTTATTTTAGTCTAAATATAAAAAGAAAATTACTATTTCTTGGCGTTGCTGAATTTGGCCTAAGGCATGAAGAGCTTATTCCCACATTTGCATCTCCAAGCTTCGGGGTAGTACTCCAATGGCACACTCATACCCGGTTGAATTGGAACATGAACCGGTTGACACGGCCAGCATCTCCCACACCTGGATCGGCAAGTCGGCGGCGACGAACCCGGTCCGAACCGGTTGACACGGCCAGCATCTCCCACACCTGGATCGGCAAGTCGGCGGCGACGAACCCGGTCCAAGAGGTGTCCCAAGCCACCACCGCTGGGTTTCCGCAGCGGCGGAGTGGAAGAAGACGGCGGCGAAGGCGAGGAGGAGGGTTAGAAGTAAGGAGAAGTTGCAATGATTGGAATGGCGGTGTGACCCTCGCGAAGGCGAGGAGGAGGGTTAGAAGTAAGGAGAAGTTGCAATGATTGGAATGGCGGTGTGACCCTCCCATTCAGAAATCGGAAGCGCTGCAGCAGGTTTTGTTGTGTAGGAATAGAGAAGAAGGGGGGCGGGGGGCGGGGGACGGGGAGTAAACCAACCTGCTCCTCTGCTTCTGCCTCTGCCTCTGCCGCTGCATGCTGCCTTTCTGAATTCCTCTGCTTCTCTCTTATCGTTTTTTTTTTCTTTTCTTTTTTTATTTATTTATTTCTATTTAGAGAGTATTATTTCAAGTCAAATACATAGAGCCCAAAAAGATTGTAATGGGGTTTGTCTTCTTGTCTGGCTTAACCTGCTGCTGCTGGGGGCCTTCCCAGCGTCACTGCCCCTCTCTCTCATCAACCCTTTTCTCCTAAATTACCTTTTTACCCCTTCTCTCCCCTTTTTCCATAAGATTTTAAAATATAATAAATAATTAAATTTCCTACGTCTCTTCACTCGCTTACTCTGCCCGAGAGAAACTCGCGTTTGATTAACTAGTCGGTGAGACAATAACTTACCAAGACAATGATTAGCCATACTAGAACTTAGTCAAGGCCCAAACTTCTACGGGAGTCTGCAGTGAGGAATTTTGACAATGGGCGAAAGCCAGACAGAAAAATGCCGTGTGGAGATAGAAGACCTATGACTAAGTCTATGCCGGTGATCTCTCGAGAATTTATTACAAATTTCTATTAATCTTTATTTTAAAGATTTTAATCAATACAATTTTATATAAAATTTAAGGAGGAGGGGGGTAGTGGTAAAATAGGAAAAATGAAAAGAGAGATAGGGTAGGGGTAAATTAGGGGTGAAAGAAGGAAGGAGCACCCGTGTGGATTACGTACGTGCGGGAGAAAAAAAGGGGAGGGGGAGCTGTCTTGTACGGAACGAACATCTGAGTCATCTCTCTCTAAATCTCCACCGTTGGATCTTCAATCCTGGATGGTCAGATTAGATGACCTTTGTTAAATGTGCAGTGGGGCCCACGTTTTATATAGACCTAACGACGGATTCCTACGTACACTTGGACGCTACTTGTTTTTAGTGATGACCATATTATATTATCAATTTTTTATTATAATTTAATTATAAATTTAAAATTTTATTTTTAATATTTATTGAACTTTTACTCCACATTTAAACTTCAAAATGGGTTATTATTTATGGAATGTGTTAATTATAAAAAATGGTAAATTTAAGGAGAGATTTATTGCAACTTACTATTAGGGTAAATTTTGATTTTCTTTTTCCTCTTTTATTGTACTACACGATTTTTATTCCAATAATAAATATGAAAATATGAAAAAAGTGTACGGCTTTACGACTGGTCATGGACCGGGTCGACTTTTGCAGTTCGATTAATAAAGCCCGGCCCGTTTTTTTGCGGTCTAATGCCCACCTTCTGCAGCTTCCTCTTTTAATGAGCTTGGAATGCGTGGCTACTTAAGTGCCACCTTTTTAGTTTAATTATTAATTGTTTTTGTGGATTTATTTTATTAGCTAAAATTAAAAAAATTAAATATACAAAAATTTTGTATTCAAATATTGTTTTGATAAGTAACGTATGCTACCAAAATTTTGTTAAATGGTATTTATCTCCATTTTTGGGGAAAATATTAAATCTTTTGTTAAATCCAAAAAATAAAAATAATTTATTTTCTTTATAATTTTCAATCATTGTACGTTTGTGAAGGGAAAAAAAAGGGAATAAAAAGGACGAGAAGTTCAAGTTGTTTACCAAAAGGTCTGCATTTTTCAAGGAATTGAAAGAATATTTTCAAATATATTATTTGAATTAAGGCTTTAATTTCAAGAATTTTGTTGAATTTCCCATCCCCAAATATATTCGTGCCATAGAAATTACGGCCCATCGGACCATTTTCGTGGACTTTTGAACCTGAACCGCAACTGGAAAGCCAATCGCGACCCGCAGCCGGACACCATCTCGGTCCGGTCCAACCTTCCCCCAAATGGAACTTATCCCGGGAAGCTGCTATTCAGATTCTATATTTCCAACTATACCCTTTCCTTATATTCTCATTTTCTCCAACTCTATTTTATTAGTTAAATTACTATTTTTGCTTTGTTTTTTTTTTATATTAGAAGGGTTTTAAATTAATTATGATTTGAACTTGGTTTGTCGTTGTTATCTTAGACTAGTAAATGAGCGGTACATTTATTATTATTAATATTACAATAAATTTACGTGTTTGTTTCTATCTGGTTTTTCAATTAGATCAACCAAATGTATAAAAATTAATAATGAATTGAGAAAAATTGAGAAAAGTTTGGAATTGATTTTGAAATTGGCACACAAAAACAAAGCATTTGTCTCGAGCTTGAGAAATGCAATACAAAATTATAATCAAATTATGTAAAATCCCCAATTAATAAAACGCCACGATTTAAGGGTATTGTCGTCTTTGTACGTTCGAAGAGGCAGTATATAGCTTCTTCGTTTTCGCTCTCTGCGTTGCCTTGAAGCGTTCCAATTTGATTGGGTTATTATTCTGAAGCAGAGGCCGCTGGTTGCAGTTGACGATGGCTGTTCCCGACAAGGTAATTTTATCTCTGTTGCCCATCGCATCGTTTCTTTCTGTATGTGTGATTGGCAGAAAATTCTCTGTTCGTATTTTTCATCGACGGTTTCAATTCGTTATTTCCCAATTCGTTGCGATAATTGGTAATCGGCTTTGCATGCTTGAAATTTATGGAATTTTTTTTACTATTTCTTCTTGAAGTTTCATTTTTCTGTAGACTAGCTCGAAAATTGAACTTCTTTGGTTTACTTTGCGCTGTTGATTCTTATATCTAGATGGTGCTGCCCTAGACTGAAATGTTCGTATGCACCTTTTCATGGGAAATTGAAACCGATTGTGTTTTGGCTTCCTCCTTCATTAAGCGAACTTTTTCTTACACATTTCCGGGGGAAAATGCTAAAATTCTGGTTTGGATTTGGAATTTCAACGCCAAGTTTATCCGTTAAAAGGAAAGTAATCCCGGTCACCGGTCGCCCGTCGCCGGGTTGGTTTGGATTGATATCTTAATTCATGTATATCGCATAATTATCCAATTGTCATGCATGTTCTGCTTTTTTCCAATTATCTGGAGGGGGCTTTAGAATCTAACGAGTTGTTTGGAAGTTTTTATTAGGAAAATATGATATCGCCTGTTTCCTTACTTTTTTTAGTTGTTCTCCTTAGAAAATTACGGTGTTGCATAATGACTTTGGCACTTGAATGTGGCTTTTCAAAATAGTTGTTGCAAATATTGATGCAAAAGCATCAATATTGTTCACGAATTCTCTGTTGTTTCGGCGCCATTTGTACTTGGTTTGTAAGTTTGCTGGCACTATTGAAAGGACACCCTGGTGTTATATGTTAATGATGTGAAATAATGCTCACCATCGAAATGAAAAAATGCCTTCATTTTTGTGAGATTCCACATTGGTGGGAGAGAGGAATGAAGAATTCCTTATAAGGGTGTGGAAACCTCTCTTTAACAGACGAGTTTTAAAACTTTGAGAAATTTTGAGAGGATGCCTTGAAGGGAAAGCCTAAAGAAAACAATATTTGCTAGGGATGAGCTTGGGCTTGGGCTGTTACAATCTTTTTGATGTCACGGTTTTATAGTTTGTGGATATAGGCCTAAGCATCATTGAGCTGTCGAGGAAAATTTAGGTAGGTTTAAATGACATACTAATAATACTGGTGCTGATAGAGATAATGGGTTCTTAGTTTCTCTTTTTCTCTCGTAGAAGAAATGATGTCCTTAGATATGCATGCATCGGTGATGTCTGATAGTTTTGTTCAGGGCCCTGCTGCTCTGAGTTTGCTGTGTGTAGCCCAATTTTTGTGTTTATCAATATCCTTATCATTACAATTCTCGAAACTTGCATTTACAGGATCCGAGAGAGGAAGTGATTCAGGCATGGTATATGGATGATAGTAATGAAGACCAGAGGCTTCCTCATCACCTTGATCCGAAGCAATATTTGTCCCTCCAACAACTTGATGGTAAGCCTGCTGAGAATAGAATAGCTTACAGCTGTACAAAAGCTAAGTGATTTTAGATAGACTTATATTTTGTGAATTATGCTAAAATTTCAGAACTTGGAGTTCTGAGCTGGAGACTGGATGCAGACAAATATGAAACAGATGAGGAATTGAAGAAGATACGTCGTGATCGTAATTACTCCTACATGGTTTGTTTCTTTAACTTGTGTGTTCATTCCATTCTTCTATATGAGCAAGCACATGTTCAATTGCTCAAATTATTTTGTTTTTTCTTCAACAAGTTTGGTCTCTCTCTCTGCTATTATCTCATTCTTTTATTGCCAGGACTTTTGCGAGGTCTGTCCAGAAAAGCTTCCTAATTATGAAGAGAAGATTAAGAACTTTTACGAGGAACATTTGCACACCGATGAGGAGATCCGTTACTGTGTGGCAGGGAGTGGTAGGATTAGTTATATTTTCTTTTACTAGACCTCAATTATGCATTATTTGTGGCTTCTAATTTTCATTTTCTTTGATGTGGGTGGATGAAGGTTATTTTGATGTTAGGGATCTGAATGACAAATGGATTCGTATTTGGGTAAAGAAGGGAGCAATGATTGTCTTACCTGCTGGAATTTATCATCGCTTCACTCTGGATTCTGACAACTACATCAAGGTTAGCATCACATAATAGAACAAGCATCATAAGACTCTTGATGCTTCTAAGTTCTAACCCCTTCTAACTATTTATTTGCCTTCCTCACAGCATGTAGGTTCACTTTACTCTTCTCCACTTCTTTGGCCATGATTTTCACTGCATAATTTTTTTTTTCTAAAGACTTGTGTGAGATCCACATCGGTTGGAGAGGGAAACAAAACATTTCTTATAAGAGTGAAAACCTCTCTCTAGTAGATGTGTTTTAAAATCTTGAGGTTGACGACGATACATAACAGGTCAAAACATACCATATTTGCTAGTGGTGGGTTTAAGTTGTTACAACTTGTCTCTCATGTGGTGTACTCCATTCAGTATACCGTGGATTTAGTTCATATCTGTTTTGTTGGCTTTGGCTCGACTTGTTATATATATATATATATATATATTTAGGAACAGTAGGGTGAAGAAACTAGTCTTCCAACCAACAAAAACCAATAATGATTCCTTGAAGCCCTCCTTTGGGTAGTATTAGGGTATGTTTGGGACTGATGTATTTATATATTGAGGCAAATTTATACTATAGTGCTTAGAAAAGGAACAGTGTTTCTGATGAGGCAAATTCATGTATATAGGCTATGCGACTCTTTGTTGGTGATCCTGTCTGGACTCCTCACAACCGTCCCAACGATCATCTTCCCGCGAGGTATTGCTAATGCTTGTAGTTGGTGCAGTCATGGATTTTCCCTGTGCCCCTTGCCATGGATTTAGCTCAACTATGAATAGCACTCAAACTCGTTTGCTGCTTTGCAGGAAGGAGTATCTAAAAATTTTTGTGGAGAAAGAAGGTGGTAACCAAACCATTAACGCTGCAGCTTGAACTCTGCTCGCGCTTCTGAAGTTGGATTGGGTCTTAGCTGTCGAACCCGTTACTATTTGTATGATCCGGTATGCATGTCCTTTCTTCGGTATGCCCGATGCCTAGGCTCATGCGAAAAGTAAAATAGTTTGTACTCTGTCTTTTATGTGGTGTTTCTGAAATATATATAATCCTAGCGTGTGGTATAAGATGGAATAAAAATTAAACAATCAGCAGTGTTTGTGCATTATTTTGTCCATTATTTTGTCCAGTGTTTGGTAATGGTGGTTGTCATGTTCCTCAACTCTTTTCTTACAAAGTTTTATTTTATAGATAAGAGATGAGTCAACTTTCAAATATTCTAAATACATATATTTTAAAATTATTATTATTATTATTTTCAATACTTGAATAATAGTGAAGAAAAAGAAAAAGAAAAAGAAGCGGATGCGGTTGTGAAACATGGATTTGGTTTGGAAGGAAAAGGGAAAAAAAGAGACAAAAATAAAGGTAGTGTGGGCTCTGTTCTTTGTGAGGAGGTTCTACACAAATCCTCCATCTGTTTTCTTAATAAATAAAATAATATTTATAAAAATATGGTGAATTTAGTTCCACGTCATTGACTGAGAATGATGCCCCATCAGCTCATTACTTTCATTATTATAAGAAACCACACTCCCCCATAACCCCATAACCCCCCTCCACGTGTCCCTTCCACCTGTTCAATTTCACTTTTTTATTATAATACCGAAAGCTCTGAATCAAAATAGTCCTTTTTTTTTTTTTTTTATTTAATCAAGTCTTTAAAATAATTATGCTCTCGTGAATTTTTTTGGACCATAACAAAAACTTGCATCAATATCATTTCTTTTTTTAATCCACCTGTAATCACTCTATTGGATCTTTATTGCTATCTTGTAGCTGACGTGTCCATCCAAAATCCTAACTTAAAACACATTGGTTTGGGTGCCACCCCACCAAACTACCATCCATCCCTCATTCCACATCCGCTTTCAATTTTAGAGCATACAATATCTATTCAACTAAGATCTAACTTAAAATATATTCGAGTTTGAGCTTGATTTTATGTTTCACGTAGAGAGGATTTTGATTGACGTTATAATTCTAGAATTTTCTAGACCCAATTTTTCTTAAATTTTCATTGCAATAGGGAGATCGTTTTGGACTGTTACAACGCGAACAAAACAAAAACAAAAATAATGATGACATTTAAAAAAATAACACACCCAAATGAGAAGAAGTATCTCTCATCTTAATTGAAATCTTATTGATGCCATGCTCAAAAGGGAAAGGGCTAAAATGGAAAATGGACCGAAAAAAGGAAAAGTTTTACACTTTTTTCATTTCATTTTTTTCTATAATTGGTATTGATTCTTTCCTCCACTCAACACCTACTACTACTACTACTCTCTCTTCATAATATCCTTCACAGTTTAGATTTCAATTTCCACTAAATTAAGAGTGAATTTCAAAAAATTAACGACGACCCAGATCATGAATCGTCTCCGCCGAGTGAAGGAGGAGTTTCCGGCGTCGAATTCTGCATTTTCTAACGGAGCGCCGTCGCCCACGGTGGCTCCTCAGCCGATGGAGGGTCTTCACGAGGCTGGTCCTCCGCCATTTCTGACCAAAACATACGAATTCGTCGAAGATTCGACCACCAATCATATTGTCTCTTGGAGTAGAGACAACAACAGCTTCATCGTTTGGGATCCTCAATCCTTTTCCTTGACCCTTCTCCCCAAATACTTCAAACACAGCAATTTTTCCAGCTTTGTTCGACAACTTAACACCTATGTAAGTTTTCTTCCCCCTTGATTTCGATTCTTTTAAGGTTATTGGCCAAATGGGTGTTCTTTACAAATCTCCGCCTTGATTTCGATTCTTTTAAGGTTATTGGCCAAATTGTTTTTCTTTACAAATCTTCACGATAATATGATTGTTAGACGAACACGACTCTACACAATAGTATGATATATTGTTTACTTTGAATATAAGATCTCATGACTTTGATTTGGGCTTTCTCAAAAAGCTTCCTATCAATGGAGTGACTATTCTATAAACCTATCAACACCTCCCCTCGAACAAAATACGCCGAGGTGACTTGACTCATTTTTTCTTTTTGGAGTTCTTTGTTAAACATTCGAGGATTTTGTCAATCTAAATTTAGGGCATGACTTTGATATGATACTATGTTAGACGAACACGACTCTCCACATGATATTGTTCACTTTGACCATAAGCTTTCATAAAGGTCTCGGGTGTAAAATGTATTAATTACTTATAAATTATGTTGATTTTTAGTCGACCATATTTATTTTCTTAATTTTGGCAGGGATTTAGGAAGATTGATCCAGACAAGTGGGAGTTTGCTCATGAAGGTTTCTTGAGAGGGCAGAAGCATCTTCTGAAGCTGATTCGGAGGAGGAAAACGGTGCAACCAAATGCCACTCTCCAAGCTCCGGACCCTTGTGTCGAAGTCAGGCGGTTCGGTCTGGACGGAGAAATCGATCGGCTGCAGCGAGACAAGCAGGTTTTAATGGGGGAGCTGGTAAAGCTAAGGCAACAGCAGCAAACCACAAAAGGGCAGCTCCAAACAATGGAGCGCCGCCTCAAAAAGACAGAGACAAGGCAGCAACTAATGATGAACTTCTTAGCAAGAGCAATTCAATTCCCTGATTTCATCCAACAACTCATCCACCAAAAGGACAAGCATAAAGAGCTTGAAGAAGGCATCAATAGAAAACGAAGACGACACATCGACCAAGGCCTTTCCCCAACCTCCGACGAATATGACGAAGAAGACGAGGCGCCATTCGCGAACGACATCCATGTGGATGTCGAGCTACTAGCCGTTGAGATGAACCAAAATAACCAGCATTTTGCTAAAGAAGAAATGGGTGAAAAAGGAGATGAAGCAATGGATGATGGGTTTTGGGAGAATTTGATGAATGAGGCTAATGAAGAAGGGTTTGGAGTTCATGGGTTTGAAGAACAAGATGATGAGGTTGAAGATGGAGATGAATTGGTTGCTCATTTTGGGTTTTTGAATTCTAATCTTAAATAGATGGATCATACTTGATTTTTGCAAATAATTGAGGTTTGGGAGACTGAAATATCGGTTTCGTTGGCTCGTCGGGAAGAAAGATGGAATGCAGCCTGTAGAGCACATGTGAGGTAGAGTCCAGTTGATCACGTAGTAGATCTCTATCTTTCTCTAGATATCTACACGCTACTGCTACCGCAACTTATACACAACATTTGTAATGGACCCATGCATAAAGGCAGTGACTTCGACCATCAAGATTACTAAAATAATTACTTTTTAAAAAATAAATTTATTTTCATGCCTTTTGAATTCTTAATCAAATTTCAATAAACAAAAATTCTTCTAAATTTTTAAAAATGGGTTAATAGTTTTGATATTTGTTAATTATAATATTATTAAAAGCCCATCTTTCCTTTTAACCAACAAAATAATTAAAATTGTCGGTCATTGAATAATTGGCTTATACATTAAAAGAAAAAAATAAAAAAAAATTCCAATTCCACCGGCGATTTTCTGGGCCTCCAACATACCCACTAATGGGCCCATCATTCTATTGGCAGCCCAACTTGTAACCGTCAGCATCTTATTTCTCCATTTTTGTCCAGATCTCAGCCGCTGATTTCCCATCACTCCCAGAAGGCGCCAATCAATACAATAGACTCGCACACACCTGACTAAAACTCTGACGACTTTGACTATACTTTAATTAATTAAGCATTTAAAATGACGTGTTAAAGCCACATGTCTTTATAGCCAAGGAAACTATCTTCTCTTTGTGCGCCAAGTCAATGTCCAATGGAGTTCATCCCACGTCAAGCGCTAAATCAAATTAATTAAATTATAATAAATTTAATTCCTTAAACTTTCAATAAATATGACAATTGGCTTTATGGTTATTTTATTATTTACTCTTTTTTTTTTCCCTTTGTTGCATGAAAATTATAGTTTTTATTTGACAAATATGAACAAGAAAAAAAATAATTTTAAAAAAATAATAATTTTTTTAATCCAACTAAAATTAAGGTATCATTTTTTTCTTTGGCCTCTTTTATGGGTATTTAAAAAAATTATTAAATTTAAAGTTTTTCGTATTTATAGGCTTTTTAACCACTTTTAAACGGTGGATTCAATGAGTGTTAATTATAAATAAATAATTTAGAAAACGCGTAATTTGAAAAATAAATATTGACATAAAAGAAAATAAATGGATAAAACGAATAAGAATATTTGGAAATTGGGGTAAATTTTTATGACGCATCGACTTCGTTATACGATAAAACCATTTTATTTTTATTTGTTGTTTAGTTCTATAAGCCTTCGATTGAAAGCTCTCCCGGTTTCTCACCAATTCTCCTTGTTTGTTACGAACGGGGAAGGATTCTTAGTTTTCTTGGTTGAAAGTTTGATCGAGCGTCTCAGATTTTCTTTACCTGTAATGCCGTCGGTGTGAATTCACTACGGTTTGAATTTGCTTGTTTTTAGATTCTGATCGGCATTGACACCGAACTGAAGGAGTGAGTCAAGAATCTGAGTATCTAGGGTTTTCTATTCTGTTGCTTGGTGTTTTAGATGGGGGCTGTGCCTTCTACGCCGCGCCGGACTAGCTCGCGGCCGCAGGATACGGCGGAGTACTTAATCGGAACTTTTGTCGGAGAGGAGTCTTTCCCCATTTCTTCTGATTTCTGGCAGAAATTGCTTGAACTTCCTCTTAGCCTGCAATGGCCGACTCACCGCGTTCAACAAGCTTGTGAACTACTAGGTCGGTTATGGCTTTTAATTGCTCTAATTGTTTAGAGTTGGATGTTGTAAGCTTAAACTATGTCATGCAGTTGGTTTGGCTCCAAGGGAGGACGGGATATCCAATCGAATGTGATCTAGCTACTGGATTAGTTAGTTTTTTTTATGATAGTGGACACGATATGTGCCGCATGAGATTCCATTAACCTTTGATTAGTGCGTTGGTGCCATGTTGGAGCTTTATGTGCTATGGTTCAAACTGACAGATTCTTGTGCTCTTAACATTCTTTTGTTATAGTTAAGCAAATACTGAGTTTATAGCAATTGGCTTTTTTTGTAGTGCTGGGCTGCGGCATTAGACATTAATACGAAACTCAAATTAAATCCAATTTCATGATTTTGCAAACCTTGTAAATCCCCTTGTATTTTTTTGGCTTTGTGTTGTTTGTGCAGCAACAAACAACTACAAGACGAGGCATCTTGCAAAGATTTTAATTCACATGGCATTGTGTTTACAAGAGTGCATGACGAACTCCGGAGCATCATCCTTGAATTATGAGAAAGCAATTAACGCGGTTCATATCTCATCCGTTTTCTTGAAGCACTTGATTGAAAATGCGAAAAGTGACAGAATTGAAGAATTATATCTGTCCTTGAACGATGGTGAATCAGCATCAAAAGATTTCTTAGGAGGTAAAACCTTTTTAGAACCATATTTTTCATTTATACACTGTAAAATGGGAGTTGATAATTTTATGAACTTGCTCTCCACATCTTCAAATAGAAGCAATTTCTTATGTGCTTAGAAATGGTCTGTGTAATCTCATCGTTTCAGTTGCTTTTGTTTGTTTGAGATTATTTCTATCATTCACTTCCATTTCATGGTCTGTTACCGAACTGGCATGCTTAGCCGTGTTTGCCGAACGTTCTAGTTCTCTCTGAAGCACCATAGGTTTCATCCTGCCTCATTTTATATTTTGCAGATCAAAAACTTGAGGATTTTGTAATTCATTCTGTTCTTGGCTTTATTGGCTCAGTTAATACAAGGTAAAGTGTTGAATTACTCCCCTCCCTCGATGGAGAGAAATGTCTACTATTCTGAGTATGTACTTTTTCTTAATAGCGATGAGAAATACCTCCTCCACGTGGAGCTGCTTAACTTTATGCTAATTTCCATGTCAACTCAACTTCTTTCTGGTCCATCACCTAGACCAAAGGATTTTAATCCATTTATTGATGCAGCCATGTCTCAGGTAACTGGATTTTTAACTTGGTCAAACATCAAAATTTATAAGTTTACTGCTGCTAAGTTTCTAGTGGGATTTTCAGGACAGGGCCTTAGTAATTGTGGTCATGCGCAAACTACTACTGAATTATATAAGTCGGCCCAACGTACCTTTAAATAGTTCTTATCCCGTAGTTTCTGGTGGAAATCAGTCTGGCGTCTTGCAGAGAGTTGGTTCTGCAGCAGGTATGACACTTTTTCTTTCACTTTTTTGACTAAACCCAATAAGGATCTCTTTTAATATTATTTTTAATGGATTTTGTTGATTTGTCTTTGAATCTGATTTTAGAGTTTTATGTGCCAAACTTTGTGTGGTTTCTTGCCTTTTACTGGTTTTAGTTCTCTGATTTTGTCGACCAAGATTTAGTTTTAATCAATTCTATCACCACATTGCTATGTTTAATGCTTTTATTGTCATTTCTTAAATTACTAGCTTTCATATGCCCATGTCATTTTTTTGCCTAATTAATCAGTAGAAGGCTTTTTTCCCTTCATTCATTCACCAAAAGTAACCAAGCCGGTGTATCTGGTTTGGCGTGCGATCTATTGTATTTTTGGTTGTTTGCATGATTGTTGAATCTGGGATACCATTTGAAGCTTATGTTACTGATAAAAAGCCTCTGCTAACATGTGTGCCTTTAACCTTTCTACAGCAAATTTTGTGTTAATGCCATTCAACTACCTGGTCAGTTCAACTGCCCAAGGCTCAAGAAGTCCATTGGCTGATTGCAGTCTTCACGTTCTTCTTGTTCTCATTCATTATCGTAAATGTGTTGTGAGCAATGGATCTGTAGCAAGTGACGATAGCATTAGTTCAGATTCTCTTTTGAAAGAGAATTCAACCTTTGATGACAATCCCTATTGCAAAGCCTTGGAAAATGCATCTGATGTCGAATGTAAGATATTAGTTTTCCTTGCTCCATCACTATTTGTTTGTTGTTGTTTAGGCAATTTATGTATGGTTGATGCTGGTTTTTTTCCTTGCTCCATCACTATTTGTTTGTTGTTGTTTAGGCAATTTATGTATGGTTGATGCTGGTTTATTTTGTGCTTGACAGTCGATCGTGTTGATACGGACGGAAATGCACATAATGGTCCACTTGTGCGGTTACCATTTGCTTTACTGTTTGATACTCTTGGAATGTATGTATTCGCTTTCTTGTTTAATAATTATTGATAATAATATGTTCAAATTTCACGTGTAAAGTTCTATGCATTCAGGAATCTAGTTGCAACATATATGAATTTAATTATGTTCATATATTATTTTACTAGGCTGTAGTACGAGGTTAAAAGTTAATATGTGCATATTTAGTATTATTTGCATCTGTGTACTATTTTTAGGTGCAAAGGCTGATGGCACGAGACAACCTTTTTCTTTGAGTTACCCTTAACAGGATATGTATCTGCAGGTGCTTGGCTGATGAGGGCTCCGTTCTTCTTCTCTACTCATTATTGCAAGGGAATCCTGACTTCTTGGAATATGTTCTGGTGCGAACTGATTTGGATACATTGGTAAGTTGCTGGAGTTCAATATTGATCAAAGCAACGGTTTATTAGTGCGATGTTGCAACTAAGATTTCTTAGATGGTTTATGGGGAGTCAATTTGGATGGTTCACTTCTTTTTTTATATACTGTTGCGGTGTCATGTTTGTACGTTGGTCATACATCCACTTTATACAGTTGTAACAACTATATCTTATTGCTCCTTCTGTTTGATAATCTATGAACAGTTGATGCCCATTTTGGAAGCACTCTATAATGCTTCAACGAGGTCATCTAATCAAATCTACATGTTACTGATCATACTTCTAATTCTTAGCCAGGATTCTTCTTTCAATGCGAGCATTCACAAACTGGTAAGGCCGATATCTGCTTACATGTTTTCTTGCTCTTATGAGGTTCTATTAAGTTCTATTACTATGTCCTCAGATACTTCCTGCAGTTCCTTGGTATAAGGATCGTCTTCTTCATCAAACATCTCTTGGTTCTCTGATGGTAATAATCTTGATCAGGACCGTACAATTCAACCTCTCTAAGTTGCGGGTATGATTTGACAAGCCCATCTAATTAAAGTACGATTTGAGTAATCACAATAAATTTTTTATGTGGTTTAATATATAGATGATGATCATGCTCCTATGCCCTTTTTATATAATTTCCTGACTTGTGGAAGTCTAAACTGCTTGGGATTAAGCAAATAAATATGTAAATGCTTGTGGAGTGATGAATAGTGTTATCAATTGCGTGCCAATTTTGAGGTTTTGAGTTTATTTCATCTTTCTCTCTCTACTCTTCATCATTGGTTTATATTGAAGCTCGTAGTAAGATTCATAACTTGATGCAAAATATTTCAACATCAGATCAATCCTGAAATATGTTCCATTTCTTCTGCTTCTTAACCTACTTAATTCACACACTAATGTATTTGGTCATTTTTTGACAGGATGTATATCTCCATACTACTTGTCTTGCAACATTAGCAAATATGGCTCCTCATGTCCACCGTTTGAGTTCATATGCGTCTCAGAGGCTGGTCAGCCTTTTTGATATGCTTTCAAGGAAGTAAGACAATAATTCTTTCTGTTGGCTGATTCCCTTGTAATTCTTTTTCCATTTCACTGTACACGATGCTACTGATGAGGCATCAGAGATGAGTTGCCACTTCCACTTTAATGTACTTATTTAAATGGATGCAATCGAGTAGCATGAAACTTATGGATACCTTTACTCATGGACGACTCTTGTATCATAATTCATGGTTTGTCTTATGAGCTGTTTTCTTGCTGTTAATTTTGGTGTAGGTATAACAGATCGGCAGAACTCAGAGACATTAAGGTTGATAATGTTAAAACCAACTCCACCGAAGTCAATTTCCCAACAGATGATGCGGTAATTCACTATAATTTTTTAGGGTCCAAAGTCAAATTTGTATTTGGATTATATGGATGGTCGCACAATATATTTAATGTGTTGCTGAGTTTGATTGTTTTTGTTGTAGTCAACTGAGATGCATATTTATACCGACTTCCTGAGGCTTGTCCTCGAAATTCTGAATGCTATTCTGTCTTATGCTCTACCACGGAATCCAGAGGTACCATCATAGAAGCTGATGAAAGATCCAATAATTGGTTGTATATTTAGCTTTATTCTTATTGACTTCCCTCTTCTGTTATTGAATCTGTACACTTTGGCAGTTTTTATATGCAATAATGCACAGGCAAGAAGTATTTCAGCCATTCAAGAATCACCCACGGTTTAATGAACTCCTTGAGAACATTTACACTGTATGTTTCAGAATATTGTATAATTCTCTTAATTTTATCTCCCCCATCCCTGTTAACTTTGCAATTTGGCTTATTAGGCTTTGCCAGTCATTTGCACGTACTTATTTACTTGTTAATGCTGTGTAGGTACTAGATTTCTTCAATAGCCGCATAGATGCTCAAAGAAGGGACGGTGATTGGTCAGTTGAGAAAGTGCTGCAAGTTATCATTAATAACTGCAGATCTTGGCGTGGAGAAGGCTTGAAGGTGAGAAAAAAACTCGATGTTTAGCTGAAAAGCCAACTTGGGCAAATGATTTTTGAAGATCAGTTTCCTTATTGCTTTTGTTTTCTAATACGAATTTATATTATTGTAGATGTATACTCAATTACGTTTCACGTATGAGCAAGAGAGTCATCCCGAAGAGTTCTTCATTCCATATGTGTGGCAGCTTGTACTATCAACCTGGTATCTTTTCCTTCATGCTCCTTTTTATGCAAAATTCTTATGTATTATCATTGGAAAAATCAAACTAAAGTCTGTTGTCCCCATCATAATCCATGAGATTCTCATATAACCATATTTTTAAATGACTATTCTGCATATCAGTTCATTTTAGTAATTGCTATATATATATATTTTAGATTTGAATCCTCGTAGTGGTTTTATCCATTATGATCTTGAACATGTACTCGGTCTCTTATTCCTCAGATTTTTTTTTTGTTTCCTTACTTTTTCTTTACATCAATTTGGTACCTGTAGCTAATCCATGGCTTCTTATATTCATCATCTGATTTGCTCAGTGGTTTCAACTTCAATGCTGGAGTCATAAATTTGTTTCCAGCTAATCTACCTTCAGAAGTAAGTTCCTTCAACTGTTGAGATTAGTATTTTTTTTAACTAATAAATAATTTTGTTTAGTTACTCTGAAATCTTAGCCAACTTTCTGTAGTTTGAAGTTTGGCTAAATTTTTTCTAAATTTGAACTGTCAAAGCTTTTGCATTTCTAAGAACATGAAATTAAAATATTCATCTAAAAGTTCTTTTAAGTGATCAACAAAACTGAAATCTTTTCAAAGTTTGATTTGCAGAGAATACATCTTAATTGAGATCATTATTTAACTGAATGTTTACACAATCACAGAAAGAAGATGATGAAGCTACAACGCAAGATGATGATAAGCAACAAAAAGGTGAGCCTCACAAGTTGGCGATCTACATCGATCCTTAGCAGCAGATGCAAAGGTATCACAATACCCTCTACCCCCGCCCCGGCCCTATTAGAGATGTGGATGGTTTATGGTGAATATGTATATAGATGAAAATACATTCATCCATTCTTTTCTGTTTATATGTTTTGAAGAAAGAAGCCTGTCCACTGTAGATAAATCTTTTTGAGGAGATAAATTGTGTACTGAATAAGAGACTACGAGCAATATAGTATCAAGATAAAAGCTTTTTTTTTATTTTTTTTTTTAAATTTAAAATAAAACAGATAAATATCACCAAAGTGTCACTAATAATATGAATTTTAAATAGTGTTCACATGTAAAGTACTTATTTATTTGTTTGCATTTTCTTTGAAATAGTAATATGAATTTTAAATAGTGTTCACATGTAAAGTACTTATTTATTTGTTTGCATTTTCTTTGAAATAGTAATATTAACCTCTGAAATATTAATAAGATCAGTAATAAGGATTTTGAATCATGAGGTTATATAGACATATTTATGGAACTCCAATATTAATAAGATCAGTAATAAGGATTTTGAATCATGAGGTTATATAGACATATTTATGGAACTCCACGTATACGTTTTTTTTGTATATATATCATTTATTGTTAGCTTCCTTGTATACCATATTTATTGTATGTAGTTGATGGTCATTTATTATTGATAGTGGTATATTATTATATTAGAAATTTCTTTACATGTACTAATAATAATGTTAGACATTTTAAGTTTTATCAAACATTTATTCGTCTTATAATGTGTATGTCATTATTACAAAGATTCAAATGGAGTTGATGGGTTCATAATTATTCCTATTATAAACTGAGTCCTAATATGTTTAAATTAAATGTTAATTAGTGCACTAATAGCTATTGTTACACATAATGGTGGCAATTGGGACAAACACAAATATGACATAATAGGCAAACGAAGAAGTATTACTAGTAATATAAGTAACACATTCGTAATTCTCTTAAGAGACATGGAAACTACATCTCAGAACTACAACCTACACGAGGCTTCCACCCTTAACAAATTCAGTGAAGGCCAAAGCTACGAGCCCCAACATCGCAAACCTCCCATTCCACAGCTCAGCGTCGGATGTCATAAGCCCCTTCGACTTAGACTCCACGCTCACCCCTTTAAATAGAGGTATCAGCGATGCCAGTGTCAAAACCACGCTTGTTCCCACAAACCATGGAATTCCTCCGTTGCCTATTTGCTCCAAAACATCCTGACCTTTCCATGCCTCAACCGCTACAGCGGCCACAAAGCCGATCATTGCTAGCCGCCCGTTGATTCTCTCTGGCGCTGGCCCGCTGAATGCTAGGACATCCGAGAATTTCGTGCTCACCTGCGGATCGCATTATTAGATTCGAAATTAACGATGATATTTAAAGACAATGTTCATCTACATCTGTTACGTTTCGATCCGTCGATTGAGAACGGCTGGTGAGTGTAACAGGATTGTTTACCTTCGGCTTCGGAGACGGTGGCGGGGGGGACGGATTTGACGTCGGCGGAGCTGGAGTAGGAATCGCTTGCTCTCTCTGCTCCTCCTGAGAGTCCAGTCGAATAAACAGATTTAGACATACATTAAGCCCTAGGATGTATATACAAAGAATAAAAGTGAAGACAGGAAGGAAGGAAATAATGATTACCTCCGCCGTGCATCGCACACGGAAGGAGGCCGTCCTCCTTGAACACAACCGGTTCGTTGGTGTCCTAAAGGTAGTTCGAGATGCCGAGCTCACCGGAATGGCTTGTAACAATGCAGAAGTGGCCATTTCGCTCAGTTCCTGGGAGTTCAACGTCAGCGGAGCAGAGGAAGGGCGGAAATTAAGGGCAGTGATCGATCAAGGAGCAATGAAAATTATCGTGTTGAGCGGTGGAGCGCTACTATGATGGTGAAGATCAGAAGCTCCGCGGGGTTTATATAACGGAGGATGGGGCAGGGAGTGGTGGATATTTAGGTTCCACGTCAGCAGTTTCCATTCATTGCCAAATAAGAGAGTCACGTGGGTTGGATTGTCCACACATGAAAAAGTGTAATGGCGTGGCTTCCTAATTCACCAGGAGAAACGAAGGAGACTTTTGTACGGTGGGTTAATGGTTGTTGGAGGAAGCTTCTAGATCAGTGGAGAAGGAGTAATTAGGGTTTCTTTTTTTCCTGTTTAGTGTTAATTTTATCAGAAAAAAAGAAAGAAAGAAAGAATATATACATATATATATATATATATAATAGTGGAAGGAATGAACACTATATGAAGTAAAATTCAACACTAGAATACCAATATTAAAGAATATTTAATACCAACATTAAAATTATGGGTTTATAGGTATAATTTGGGGCATCCAACCGTCCACATAAACTTTCTAAGCGTCATGGAAGAGGTGTAATCGTGGTTCAACTTCATTTTTATAAAACTTTTTGTTTTGTATGGAACTAAACATAAAGTCATAGAGGGTTATGTTTCGTACGGTTAGACACCTCAACATGAAGCTAATATGAATTTATGAGTCGATTCTTGCATCAATAATAAGAACACACTAACTTCGTACGTTTTTTTTTCTTTTTTTTTTTTTGAATGAATATCAAGATTTGTTGATAAAAACAAATCATTTGGCGTAAGGGACGGTTGACAAGTTTTTTTTAGTTCAACGATTGTGGCTGCATGAATATTTAAATATTGACCAGTTGATCGGTTAAATATATTTTAGGTTACTTAAACTATATTCAATTTGGTTATAAATGGATAAGGGTGTGAGTTTTAATTTTTTGCCAATCATATCATAAACTATTGATTTTTGTTGGTTGTTTGGGCAAACGGCTTTAAATTTATCTAAAAGAGATTGAAAAAGAAAAAAAGATTAGATATAAATGGGCCCATAAGAACAGCTTGGCAACCAGTTAAGAAGCCCAAATAGGCCCAAAATAAAAGCCCAAAATAACAATAAAAAAAAGGGGAAAATGGATTTGATGATTAGAGATTTGAAAATTAAATAACTTTTTAAGCCGCCGGCTTATTTTCCAATATGTTCTATAATGGAAAGACTAGTTTTCAAAAAAACAAGAAAAGGGTACTTTTGTAAATTGATCGGTGATTAGTGCTACTTAACCATTTATAAACTTCGGACTAAGGGATCTGAAAGGAAAAAGAAAACCGAGAAGGCGTGAAAATGGAAAGGAGGCTGAGAGAGACGGGATGCGGATATCTGTTGGCGGGTCTTCTTCTTGTGAGCCTATTCGCCGGAATCGATTCAATATCGGTCACAGTGAACGAGCTTGAATGCGTTTATGAGTACGTTTTGTACGAAGGCGACACTGTTTCTGGAAATTTTGTGGTGGTCGATCATGATATTTTCTGGGGCGCCGATCATCCCGGCATTGATTTCTCTGTAAATTCCTATCTTTTCTATCTTCAATCTTTTATTGTGTTTATGTTTGCATGTAGATGGATTTCATTACTGCCGATTTGTTGGTTGTGCTCGATTAAGATTGGATCTTAGATCGGGGGAGCTTGGGATAGTGGGGGAGGGTTTAGTTTTTAATTTCTGATATTTCTGGGAAATTTTATGATCTTTGTTGTGAAATTGGCGTGGGAAAGAATGTGAGAGCTTGTGTGTTGATTTTGACTTTTTGAAGAACGGTGGAAATTTTTGCCCTTTTGTTAATTCGACGTCTAGGGTTCGTTCGTTTGAAATTATGATTTTGAGAGATGATATTTTAGATTGATAATTGGTTTCTTTATCTTGTGAGCTGCGAGATGATTCGTTATTGAACAGTTTCTGATCAATAGATTCACAATTATAAATCCCTTTTCGAGCCTGAGCGGACTGATACCCTGTAATTTTCTTCGTTTTTGAAATTGTATGGTTCAATTGTTCATGGTTTATAAAATTGGCGATCTCTTGCTCCCCTTTTTTAAAAATTTTTTGTTTTTGTAATAACTACGACGAGTGATGATTCTCAACTCAATTCCTAGGTTACTTAGTTATTGAGCGCATCTTCACAAAAGGGTTTCTAAAGCGGTGGTTCAAACAATGTTTAGAAAAGTTGATGAGTTGCATTGTTTTTGTTGTTCTTCTTTCTAAAGCGGTGGTTCAAACAATGTTTAGAAAAGTTGATGAGTTGCATTGTTTTTGTTGTTCTTCTTCTTTTAATCTATCTGAAGCTACTTATGTTCTTTCATTGTTTATGGTTGGCTGAACATTGGGGTACCTGGAATTTCTTGTCTGATCGTTTTATATCGATGATAAAATGCTGTTTGAAGATATCCTTATATGGGTTATTTTCGTGCAGGTTACATCTCCCGCAGGTAATGTGGTTCACTCTTTGAAGGAGACCTCTGGCGACAAGTTTGAGTTTAAGGCTCCTCGTAGTGGAATGTATAAATTCTGTTTTCATAATCCCTACTCGACTCCCGAGACTGTTTCTTTCTACATCCATGTGGGTCACATTCCGAACGAACATGACCTTGCTAAAGATGGTAATTGATTAACTTCTGCATTGCTAAAGTCTTGGTTGCCTGTGAGAATTTAACACATTTCTCTTCTCACCTTGTTTTGGTCACTTCTTGCAGAACACCTAGACCCTATAAATGTTAAGATTGCTGAGCTTAGAGAGGCATTGGAGTCAGTCACTGCTGAGCAGAAATATTTGAAAGCACGTGATGCTCGCCACCGTCACAGTATGTGGTTTATTTTTATGCGTGGTTTCGGTTTTATGAATTTGTTTGTTTATGCCATTTCTGGGAATTCTTGCTAGCAAATGTTGAAAACGCCAGCTGAATCTTGTTTGCGGGCATTATATTAAAATCACTTTTCTTTTTTATTACTAGTCTAATATTAATGTAGAGGCATAGACAACTCACAAGCTCTCACATAATAGCAATCTGCCTTCATTTTACCACATTTAGGCTTGTTTTTGTATGCTCTAGCGCCCCCCCCCAAACAAAATTTGGTGTGAATCATTTGCGGTTAACCGAATGTCAGAATGTTAGCTTTCTGAATGTAAATGTATGAGATTGTTAGTATAGCTGAACAACGCAAGCTTGAATTTTTTAGTCTGAATTCGTGAAATGTCGTTTTCCCATCTTCATTGTTTACTAATATAATAGTCCACACGTCAAGACTCGTGATGAAATTGGCTCTACAGTTAAGGGAGCAACAAGAATCTTAGATTTATTCTAGCCTATCTACATAAGTTATTGAATTGATTTATGGGTGATTCTATGGCAGACAAAAGATTTTGGTAACCTTTTTGCTATATTTTGATAACCTTTTTGAATATTGTTTGATGCAGCGAACGAAAGCACAAGAAAGCGCGTAATTTTCTATACAGTGGGAGAGTATTTGTTGCTTGCTGTTGCAAGTGGGCTACAGGTCGTTTACATTCGTCGGCTGTTCAGTAAGTCAGTTGCATATAACCGGGTGTGAGCAATCCTAGTGATAACGCTGTTGCTTCTGTGTTAGGTTTCAGTAACCTTAGGAATGAGAGTTAACATTGAGTATATTATATAATCACTTTTGACCATTCTACAGTTTTAAATTTTAATAAGTTGTTATGTGTTCATGAGTTATCTATATTCTTTTAAGTTAAGGAAAAACCATTTTCCCTATGCATCTGGGAAAGGATGTTTGCGACTCCAGATGACATCCTCATTGCCCTTCTCTTGTTTCTCGAGTAACGAGGATTAGACCCTAATTACTGTTTCAAAAGTTTCGAGTCAAAGCCATCGGTATCACTACCTTTTTTGTCTTTGCTTACTGTAGAATCTCGGTCCATTGTGTTAGGCTTGGCTGGCTTATTTGGTTAGCTTGGAGTTTCTTTCCAGATGCAGAATTCAGCTTTGAATTTTGAGGAAACATTATTGGTTGTGTTTAATCTTGATTTTAGTCTACGGGGATCATTAATCCTTTAATCTTGTGTTAATATCCTAATATCCATGAAATCTTTCCTTTAATCTGTCTTAAGTGGGTATGACGGTTTATGACCAAATTAGGGTTTGATATCAATTTACATATTAATAATATATCAATACTCGAATTTTAAATGATCTGTACTTGACAGATTGATAATCAATAGGTAAAAGGTAAGTATATTAGACGATAAAAACAAATCAGAATTATTATATTATATGCAAGTAATCATTTCTTAAAGATTTATTTTAGTAAATAATTATATTATCCGAAAATGTGTTCTTAAATCATATTCAATTTTGGTATGGAATTATTCATAAACATTTAATTGTTTTTCCACAAACAATCCAACCATCGGTCCATACAAAAAGGAATTTCAAATATTCAATTAGTAGATACAAAGTCAGATACAATGTTCCATCCACGTGTTGCTGACTCACATTTCCAATTTAGCTGACTGAAAATTACTTTCATAATTAATTAATTAAAACTTCTTTTTTTATTAGTAGTAAAAAAAAGTCCTTCCCTTCATCCCCAAATTTCTCCAACATCCCACCAAAATGACGTTCAAAAATAAATATTTATTTTATTAAATACTTTTAAATTTGCGATATATATATATNTAGAGCAATAACAGCACTCAAGCTAAATGACATGAATTTACTGCATATTTGATGGTTGGGGCATAACTCTCGAGTAACGAGGATTAGACCCTAATTACTGTTTCAAAAGTTTCGAGTCAAAGCCATCGGTATCACTACCTTTTTTGTCTTTGCTTACTGTAGAATCTCGGTCCATTGTGTTAGGCTTGGCTGGCTTATTTGGTACCTTTTTTGTCTTTGCTTACTGTAGAATCTCGGTCCATTGTGTTAGGCTTGGCTGGCTTATTTGGTTAGCTTGGAGTTTCTTTCCAGATGCAGAATTCAGCTTTGAATTTTGAGGAAACATTATTGGTTGTGTTTAATCTTGATTTTAGTCTACGGGGATCATTAATCCTTTAATCTTGTGTTAATATCCTAATATCCATGAAATCTTTCCTTTAATCTGTCTTAAGTGGGTATGACGGTTTATGACCAAATTAGGGTTTGATATCAATTTACATATTAATAATATATCAATACTCGAATTTTAAATGATCTGTACTTGACAGATTGATAATCAATATACATATTAATAATATATCAATACTCGAATTTTAAATGATCTGTACTTGACAGATTGATAATCAATAGGTAAAAGGTAAGTATATTAGACGATAAAAACAAATCAGAATTATTATATTATATGCAAGTAATCATTTCTTAAAGATTTATTTTAGTAAATAATTATATTATCCGAAAATGTGTTCTTAAATCNAATTTTGGTATGGAATTATTCATAAACATTTAATTGTTTTTCCACAAACAATCCAACCATCGGTCCACACAAAAAGGAATTTCAAATATTCAAATTAGTAGATACAAAGTCAGATACAATGTTCCATCCACGTGTTGCTGACTCACATTTCCAATTTAGCTGACTGAAAATTACTTTCATAATTAATTAATTAATTAATTAATTAAAACTTCTTTTTTTTATTAGTAGTAAAAAAAAGTCCTTCCCTTCATCCCCAAATTTCTCCAACATCCCACCAAAATGACGTTCAAAAATAAATATTTATTTTATTAAATACTTTTAAATTTGCGATATATATATAACCAAAATGACGTTCAAAAATAAATATTTATTTTATTAAATACTTTTAAATTTGCGATATATATATATATATATACATATTTAATTTGAAACATGTTTGTTTATATCCATCTTTATTTGAATATAAATTAATAATTAATAATTTTTTTAATTTGATTAATCTGAATTTCTGACTGTATTACTACGTGGTGTTCCGCGTTAAGAATGGATATGCTTCAGATTCCCTCTCAAAACCCTTACCCCTTTCACAAAATTACAAGAGAACCCCTACACTATGGATAATTGGGGCAATTAACTAATAATTAAATTTTTCGTTATCTAATATTTAATTCATTCAAATCACATGCCTCTAACGTTCATCCACATCAGAACGCCACACATATAATTAAAGCTAAATCATCTTCCGTTGAATACGTGATGGCAAAATAATAATGAAAATTAATAGAATTTTATTTTAAAAGTTCAAAAAGAAAAAAATCTGAAAATGAAAATATTGTTTATTAAGTTATAAAAGTTTCTGAACTTTCCAAATTTGTATATAGAAATAAATATATTAAAATGGATATAAAGCGATGCTAAAGCTAAAAGTGATTATTCTATAATCACTTTTATTCAGCTTTTCCCTACAAAATTATTCTCATAAAAAAAAAAAAAAAAAAAAAAAACAAGTGTGGGTGCGAGTTTGTAAATAATGAAAATTAGAGAAATAAGGAGGGACAATAGTGGAAATTTACTAACCTTATTATTATTATTTATTTTTGTTTTTATCTCCGTCCTTCAAGACCATGCGATCCTTCATCGCCCGTATTTGCAAGCCCCTGCATTCACAAACGAAACCAATCGTGTTTTAGTTCATCTAATTTTCTGATCGACGATCTTCGAAAATGCTCGCCGTCTTCGACAAATCGGTGGCCAAAAGTCCCGACGCTCTGCAGAGCCCTCACTCCGACTCCGTTTGGGCTCTCAAAGATGGAATTCTCGCCAAGCATTTTAGCTCTGTGTACCCTGACTCTGTCATTGTCAACCTCGGCTCCGCCGGTCTCTTGGCCTATTCCGTCGAGAAGAAAAACCCTCTCCTCCCGAGGTATTTTCATTACCTTTCTTCTTTTTCTTCATTTCTTTTGGGGAAAACTATAGCGTTCGTCTCTGTTTTTCTGATTGTTTCTTCATTTTTTATGTTTTTTCTGGATCTGATTGCTGATCTCATTAAGATTCTGTATTCCTGTGATTTCATCTGCACTGTTTCTCGTTTTGGGTTGCTGAGATTCTGTTTGAACTTACAAGAATCGAGTTTTCCATGTTTATTTGATTTCCCCCCTCATTCTTGGTTTTATCTGCAATCAGGGGTTTACTTATATGATATTATGTCGTTAATTTGTGTTCTTTGAGGAAACTATTGGGCATTTTTTGTTTTGCTTCAGATTTTCCATTTTGACTCGATCAAAATTTTGGAGGGTCAAATCTTTCCAGATCAATGTTTAGTTTATATAATTTTAAACTTATGGGATTCTTGGTCTGGCAAGATTCTTTTACACTTCATCAATCATCAATAATTCTTATGGGATTTGTGTCGAATCGTTGGGAAGGGAGTTGGGGTTTGTTTGGCTTCTCGATTCTTCATTCTTGTAAGAGCATTTGTTAGATTTGGCTGCTGTTGGGAAATTGATGAAATTTGTGTTTATAACCATAGATTATTCGCGGTTGTGGACGACATTTTCTGCTTGTTCCAAGGGCACATTGAGAATGTTGCTCAGTTGAAGCAACAATATGGATTGAACAAAGCTGCAAATGAGGTTATCATCGTTATCGAAGCGTATCGAACGTTAAGGGATCGGGGTCCATATCCAGCTGATCAGGTGGTCAGAGATATTCAAGGGAAATTTGTGTTTGTTCTATTTGACAGTTCCTCAAAAGCTGCATTTTTTGCTTCTGTAAGTTGTTGCCCCGATCCCTTAGTTTAACCATTGATTGCTGCAGATTTCTTGTGTTTTTAACCTATTATGTGTCTTTTTAATTCGTAGGATGCTGATGGGAGTGTTCCTCTACACTGGGGAACTGATTCTGAGGGACAGCTTGTTCTCTCGGATGATGTAGAAATTATGAAGAAGGGTTGTGGAAAGTCATTTGCTTCTTTCCCCAAAGGTAATTTTTATGGGAATTGTGGGCATCACTTCTGGTATCATATCATATTCTCATATGGTTCTTTTGTTTATTATTCATTGATTTTCTGAACTATATGTTAGGTTGCTTCTTCACAACATCCGGTGGGTTGAGGAGTTTTGAGCATCCACTGAATGAGCTGAAGCCAGTGCCAAGGGTGGACAGTTCAGGTCATGTCTGTGGAGCCAATTTCAAGGTGGATGAAGAGGCTCGAAAGGAAAGTTCTGGCATGCCAAGAGTTGGGAGTGCTGCAAACTGGTCATCAAACTATTGAGTGCACTATTCGGCAAAGGCTTTGTTTACTTTGCCTTGGCCTTCCTCCAGCTTCTTTCCATATTTCCATATTTCATTACTCTTTTAACTGTGCCTTGAAAATGGGTACTTAGGGTTTATACTTCCCTTCCCGTTATGGGCATGTTTATGCAGTTACAACTTAATATCATATGAAACTTTCTGTGGCTTATTTGAGTTACATTCTAGATACGTGGAATAATAGTCTGTTTCTAAATGTTTTTGGGGTTGCCCTTCTCTAACAATTGGCTCTATATGTGTTCCTAATGGCTGAAGGGCATTGATCCAAACAGATTTTCGCTGGTTTTGGATTTATGCCAAAAAGTTTCTCCTTGCCAAAATTGCATATTTGGCTTTATCTGAGTAGAGTTGCAATTTAATGCTTACTAGAGAAGGCGCTTTTTCATTATTTTTTCAAATGGATTGCATATGGGGTAGCAAAAAACGTTATGGATGCTAGAAGATACAATGTACATAGGGTCTTACATACTGTCACTAGAAGATAAAAATATGTATCCAGTAACTAGATGAAAAGTTTAAAACATTTCAACCTGTGTTTCCTTTGATTTTCCAGCACCACATGAGGCGTCAATCCTTTGCATCTGCAATGCCCCCTGGTGTTATCTGAAAAACGTGGTTCTGTCAAGGAAAAATTGTGTGAAAGGTGTAGCCTTTTCTCTTCTGCTTTATCTACAATGTTTAACAAGTACAATTTTTATGTAGTGATATGAGTGCAGTAGAATTGTAGGACTTACTGCTTGCTTACATCATTGGTTCGATGATTTCGGAAATCGTTGAGATTCATGGGTTCGATGTTTATACCAACCAGAAAATGATAAATGAAGGTGATGAAGTGTGACGTGATGTGAGTTAAGGATATAGCTTCAGACTCTGGCAGATTAGGAGCATCGAACACCTTACAGATGCGTTGTTCTCCTTTGCCTTTCCTGAACATCAGTCTTACCGTGGCAGCATGGGCAAGAACGTGGCCTCCTGCTGGTTTTTTGGGGTCTGATACGAACACTCCTCCACCTGGGTCTGCAACAACTGTTGTCAACAAGACAGATAGCGCGTTCAGTGACCAACATTTTGAATGATAAACACCAGTTTTGTGTACTCAACAGCAAACGATTTTGTCTCAGTCAATCCAGCTAATACAAGAAGTACCAAGGTCAAAATATTCTGACCATAAATTGAGCTAACATGTCTGTCATGGATTGCCTGAATGAGATGATTAAGCACTAGAAACGACTTCCATAAAGTTCAATCGCTACCTTGGTTGGTCATGTAAACTGCTACATTATACTCTTCTGCAATTTTAGTTAATCGGGACAGCATCTGCGCCAGTTTTTGCTGCACTTGACAACCAGCTTGTGTCATAATTGATGAAACAAGGTGACAGGTGAGACTTAGATAGGGAAATTAAATTCTAAGACGTCTGTTGAAGTCTATAGGATTCGACCTGGCGCTCTGCAAGTTCTCCTCTTCCAGTGAAATCCACTCGAAAAAGTGCAATGATAGAGTCAACAATCTGAAATTAAGAGATAGAATGTATGTCAGGCAACATAGTTTTTGACATTTGAATTACAAGTTACCAGGTGACTCACCAGAAGTTTAAACGGTTCTTCGGACATTTTTGCCGCAAGGCCGAGCAAGAGGTTATGCTGATGTTCGTAGGTGTAGGCACGAGCATATATGATCTATTTCATTAGCAGCAAATTAATAAAAGATTTGTGATCTGGTTGAAAGGAGCTATATGCAAAAGAATGGTGCTTACATTATCTAGCACAGCTCCCGGGTCCATGCCAAATCTTTCAGCTATAGGCACAATTCGATCAGGTCGGCTGCAGGTGCGTGTGGTTAAGGAGAGGACATATTGAAAAGGGGAACATCTCTGAAGATAATCATTTCAATTCTCTAGACATGCCACGATAACGACATGATAAAAGAAGCTTCAAAAGAGGATACAAAGTGCCCTCAGTGTCGATGTATGCAACCTTTCCATTCCCTCCCCGCATGTTGGTGGGAAGCTGCGAAGGCCAACGCCAAGCACAATCGTTAAGATGTTATCAGATTTGATGCAGCTAAAGAGGCGCTAAGTACTTACGAGATTTATAAGAAAGATAAGTAAACCTGAGTTTTTCTTTGAATACATATATTACCAAATATAGCATTACATAAATCGAACTCAATTTTAAAGATCAGATGCGAAGCCGAACAAGTATATGCTTCCAGGTTTTCTGAAATACAATCTCAATTGTAATTCCATAACTATTTTGTGGGCACTTGACTTTCTCTGGAGACTAGTATGAGTAAGCTTTATAACAGGTGCCAGGAGAGTGAAAGGCATAAGTTATATTTGGACGGTGTCAAAACGATTTCTGTAAGTAACTAATAAAATTCCATCGACCTGAGAACCGAAAAAAGGAACAAGACTATTGCACCCCAATGAATGTTCAGATGAGGCGTAGATTACCTGCGTAGAGACACATAGAGTATGCGCGAGTTGCGTTTTCCCGGACCTAGCATTAGTTTAACGAGGTCAGAGGAGAACGGAAATTTAAATACGGGACTTCGATTTTCAATAAACAAAATTGAAGCGCCTTTTAACATATGCATTCTCACCTGAATTCTCCAAAAGCTTCCGTGATCGCTAGAGTTTCAATTCCACCTTTTGGAAAGAATTAAAGCAATATTTAATGCTTATGATTGGTGAGATAGTGAAAAAAGGAACGTGGTAAATCAGGACTTGCCTCCTAAGAGTTCATCGAGAGCCTGGCTTCCAGTCGTAATGCGAACTACAGACTTTCTCTACAAACAAAAATCAAGGTCTCAGTCTGCATTTCATGACGGACAGTATTTTACTAGAAGATATCTTGAACTTATAGGAGCTACAAGAAAAACTAAAGGTAATCGTACACAGTTGTTTCCGAACGCGAAACTTATAGCATGCGGGAAAGGAAAGGGAGACTATGCGAACTGTACATTTTGGTGAAGTATGGATCTATTTGGTTACACTCCATTTGTTACCAATAAAAAACAGAAGCAGCTTACCCTGAGCAGAACGTCGCTTCCAGTGATATAACCAAAATTCTGAAAAACAACAGACAAATAATAACTGTTAATTGAAGAAAAGCTGGACTTCATCGCATTTTGATATCATTGTGTAAACCATTGCACGCATCGTGGATAACAGAAGTGGTGATTGAGTCGCTGACCACTAGCTTTTCGGCAGCTTCGCAGATCTTATCAACCTTCGCTTCGGATAAACCTTTTATCCCTGTCAAGTGCTAAGATACAAATCCCCTGGTCACTATAATTACATCAAATTCAGAATATATAGAATCGGATGTAAGAATTGTTCTACCTTCTTCGTGTGCATCATCAAACCATTGCAAGTGTATATCCCTGCGTCCTGAAGCTTCTTCACGTCTCCAGCATTAATTCCATGAGAAGTCACTGCACAGAAAATTCCATAGGAACTCTATCAGATGTAGTGGAACAACAGTACAGCATGATAGTTAGTTGATGGCTAAAACTAGTTGCATCTTCCCCTCGACTTTAGCAAAACTCTGGTAGAATTGCATGCCTTGAGAAAATAGGCCACTACAAAAAATAAACCTAGCTAAACTGGATGCAAGGCTATCGCGAAATGAAAGGATCACTAAATTAAATTGCTGATGAATCAATCGAATGAGATTCCGTGATGCCGTATCAGCGATCTCATATCTCTTCGGAGAAAAGAAAATCGATTAGCATTGGAGTTTTTCAAATCAACCTCGAGGTCAACAAGCAAATCACTAAGATAGAATGTCACGAAATCAAGTTTTGTTTGAACTTCACAAAACAAGAGTCAGCGAGGAAATTCTTTGAATAGCGAAACCATAACTTGATTATAAGTTATAAGCTCTGAAACTTACGTTTGTCGATCGCTTCGAACAAGTCGTCTTCATCCTCAATATCTTCGCGCTCTACGATCTGAAGTTGCTGGCTCTGTTCTTCCGCTCTGAGCAACATCACAGCGACAAAATGAGAGAGAATGCGACGGATAGATTAAGAAGTAATTGTTACAATTTGAAAACGAAAGATAACGAGAACAAATTTCTAACTCACTTGAGCGTTGCGAGCATCATTGTTGGCTTTGAAGGTGCCTAAATCGGAGGAGAACTATTTCCTGCTAGTGAACGAAACAGAGGAAGCCGGCTGGAACTTAAGAATGAAAAAAAATTAAATGACAACTGAATTTATAAGGGAGCGGGAACTTGTAAACGGCGGGGAAATTATGCGTTTTGATATGGCCTACATTGGCAAAAGCATGACTACTTTCAAAGGGTATTTAGGACTTTTCACTTATTTTGGGATAACGCGCCCAAATTGATGTGAGCACTCCCCTCTCCAGTAGACTGGCGTAACTAATTTCGCCAATCCCTACCGTCTCGAGGATAAATTTGACTTTTCACTACCAGACTAACTAACCTGGATAATAATATACCTTTTGATCTTTTATCAATACGTGTCCAAATATATTTTTTATATTAGATAATTTAATAGGGAGAGAAAGTGAAAAACAAATTAAAAAAATAATACTTCACATTTGTTTTAGAGAAATTCCTAACCTTTTTTTTTAATGAAAGGCTTTCATAAAAATTCTCGTAGAATCGAGAATGACGGTAAAACTGTAAATTAAAAATTCTATCCATTAAAACGTGTATATAGTTATAAAATTATCAATTAAACTCATGAACCGTCATTGATTGATTAATTTAAATTATTGATTTAATCCATCGGATCCATATTCCAAAATTTGCAATCTTAACCATCTTAACACGTGATATTGTAAACTCAAAATGATATCAATTAAATTATATTGATTATTAAATACGATTCACGCTATATTTTTTTTTTTGTTTACTTTTCGCCATTTGAAACGGATTTAGTGTTTGTTTTTATTAGTGATACTTTCATGAGCATTAAACATTACTTGACTAGAGACGTAATTAGTAATTTTCAAATTTATTTCATATGTGATTTTTAGTTTCAAATTTGATTAAATAAAATAAATATTGATTTTATTTTAAATTCGTGTTCTATTTTTTCTTCAAAATATTTATAACATTTCCTTAATTTAATTTATATAAAAAATGATTAAGTAAATTAAAGATTAAAAATAACATTTTTATTGGTAGTATAGTTAGTTAATTTAATTAATTAATAATATAAAATGACATTATGATAATTATAATTATTTATTTATAATTAAGAAGCCATTTTCTTGATTGAAATATTTGTAAGATTTAAAAGAACTAAATTGAGAATTATGGGAACATTTTAAATGGAAAAAAAAAAAAAGAAAAAAAGAAATAAGGAGGTAAAAACGGAAAATAAAAGGGGAGCGTCTTCAAGGAAAGGTGGCGTGCTCAAAGCGTATACTGACCAATTATTTATCCCCGTCCCGTTATAACGTTTTCTTTTCCCACTGTCTCACTGGATTTCTAGGGTTTCTCTTCTTAACTTATTCACCAGGAGCGGTCCTCTTCCGGGCCTTTTCTTCCCGCTCCTTCTGCCCCTTTCCATGGATTATCCCTTTCTTTAACTTCAAATTTTGCTCGTTCTTATATTTCATTCCATGCTTTACGCTTTATATATATATTTTTTGTTTCTGGATTATTTGATTCCTGTTCTGAAGGCTAAAACCTTCAACACTTCGATTCTTCGCCATTCTGACCTGTGGATTAATCCCGGAAGGCACTGTTGCCCTCAATGCAGCTTCTTAACTCCGAAGAAACGGTCGCCGACTCGTCGGAAAGCGGCCTTGGGGAGGAAAGAAATTTGAAATCTTCTAACTTGGTTTCGTTTGAGGGTGATAGTGGAAACGAAACCGATGATTCGGTTATTGATGTATCGGGGAAAAACTTGGATTCTCACTTCTTGGAGGGTTCCCACAGCTCAGTGAAGGGTCTGTACATATTTCGGAATGCGTTCAATTTGATTCCGAAATCAGTTGGCAACTTTAGAGAATTGAGAATGCTGAAGTTCTTCGGGAACGAGATTAATTTGTTTCCGCCGGAGTTGAAGAACTTTTCGGGGTTAGAATGCTTGCAGGTGAAGTTATCATCACCGGGTTTTGGTGGTTTATCATTACACGAACTGAAGGATCTGAAGGAGCTCGAACTATCGAAGATTCCTCCTAAACCTTCGTCGTTTCCAATTCTTAGTGAGATCGCTGGCCTTAAGTGCTTGACTAAGCTCACTGTTTGTCACTTTTCTATTAGGTGAGTGAGCCTCATTTATACCTGTTTAGAAGTATAAAAGAAGTTGAACATTCTATCATTGCTTTAATTGCCTTCTGTGTTTGTTAGTTAGATGAGAATTTCATTCTACGAAGGTAGAACGAACTAATCTTATTAAAAAAAATGATGAAGCGAGTTGGATTGTTTGATTGTATTCTGCTTTTCCATATTATGTGTTATGGTCTATTGGAATGTTTTAGAAAGAGACAAAATAACATTAGAGTGTCACTTTCTTTTGAACAATCCAAATGATTTGGAAAACAGTGACTTCAGCCTCATTCACTCTCGTCAATTTATTTTGAAGTTTTACGTAGGCTATCACATTAGGTGATATAGGAATCTAAAATTAGGATCTTTCTTCAATTGTTGCTGTAGGGTATCATTTTGAGTGATAGATTATGTAATTGTTGTTGTTTGCATGCAAGTGTACGTACATGTCTATCACTTTTAGAAGTGTCAATTTTCCACGAGTTAATAGTGTCTTAGAAGTTTTAATATAATCCATATCTTTTTCTATTATTTAACTAGTGATTCATTTCTGCTAGCCGGACATGTAACTGTGGCATCGATGTTGAATATCAGCTCATTAATTGTGATGTCTTGCTGTATAGATCCATACCTGGATGGATAAACTACGTATGTAGACTGATGATACAATGATGTTTTGTGATGTGAACTATTGAGCTTTAGTACGATTTTCATAACCATTTTTCATCCTAGTTTGTACATTTCTTATTATTTATTTATCTACTCTTAAACAAGGTATCTTTGTCGCGTTCCCTTTTCCTTCAGATTCCTTCCTCCTGAAATTGGCTGCCTGGATAGTTTGGAGTATCTAGATCTCTCATTTAATAAGATGAAGAGCCTTCCAGCAGAAATAGGCTATTTGAATGCTTTGATATCCTTGAGAGTTGCCAATAACAAGTTGGTGGAACTACCTCCAGCTTTGTCCTCCCTGCAAAAGTTGGAGAATTTGGATCTCTCAAGTAATAGGTTAACGTCATTGGGATCTCTTGAACTTGTATCTATGCATAGCCTTAAGAACTTAAATTTACAGGTATTTTGTCTTTTTTATTATATTTTATGTATATTTACATAGTTTCTTTGGCAAGTTGGTAATTGTAACCTTTCTGTCCAATCTAATGGTTTAGATCCTGTTCATTTAAATTTATTTTACACGTTTGTACTCTGAATATGACATAACATATATTTTTTTAATTTGGTTTTCGCTATGGTTTTTCCTTGTGGTATAGTACAATAAGTTTCTAAGAAGGTGTCAGATACCCTCCTGGATATGCTGCAACTTTGAAGGAAATTGTGGAGACAAAATAGCTGATGAAGAATGTATTAGTTCTACAGTTGAAATGGATGTTTATGAAGCCACCATTCCAGACAATAGTGATAATTTTCCACATAAAGGTGTGTTCTGCGGTCATTTTATGCTCAATGATTGAACATGGATTTTTCATTTTGGTTCTTTGATTTTCACTGTCAAGAACTCTGTTTTTGCAGGTATTCGTAATCTCTCATCAAACCTATTAATGGGATCTTCAACAAACAGTAGATCATTTGCATCTCGAAAATCAGGTAAGCGATGGCGGAGACGACATTATTTACAGCAAAAAGCTCGCCAGGAGCGTTTGAATAATAGCAGGAAGTGGAAAGGAGTAGATCATCATACTGAAGTGAAGATCCATGAAAATCATGAACTTGGGAGGCTTGATACTGCTCCTACTTCTGAAACTACAGTTGAAGATTCATCAGTTATTGAGGAGTTATATGATAGTAAAGAGACCAGTCATGGAAAAGATGAAGGGGAAGATCTTATCAAGAACCATGAGAAGGACAATTTTGATGTCAAAAAGGAACTACCTGTGGAGGAGTCCTCAGGTATCTGTATTGGTGCTGCAGGAAAAATGACAAGGGACGACAATGAATGTCGTGAGCCCAGTGAGACTTTGCCGCTACCAGGAAATGAAGCACATGACCTAGAAGGGTCATCATCCCAAATATCAAAGGATAATGCTAAGTTGAAAAGATATTCTGAGAGGGAACTTGATAATCCTAAACCTTGCAAGTCAAGAAAGGCAGCTGAAGATAGCTCAAGTTTATCTTGCAAGTACAATAATATATCATTTTGCAGCGTTGAAGATTATGTTCCGGATGGATTTTATGATGCAGGGCGTGATCGTCCCTTTATGTCATTAAGGAATTATGAGCAAAATTTTCATCTTGATTCTCGTGAAGTCATTCTTGTCAACAGGTAGATTAGTTAAGACATTATATTGGTGACTGATTATTTATTGAGTAGATTGAGTATCCAATGACTTTCATACTGGAGAGTGGAAAATGATAATGATTATTTGTATGTGCCCAGGGAACATGATGAATTATTAGACTCTACAGTGATATCTGCGAAGTCATTGGTACTTCGTCTAAAGCAGATTAACCGAACCCAAGAAAGACATCAAGTTCTTGATGACATGCATATCATACAAGTACTTGCTCTATTTGTGTCTGATCATTTTGGAGGCAGTGATAGAAGTGCAATGGTTGAGAAAACACGGAAAGCTGTTTCTGGTTCCAAGTATCAGAAGCCTTTTGTCTGCACCTGCTCAACTGGAGATCGGAATAATCTTACTGCGTCCACTAAATTAACAGTGGATAATTATGAGGATATTCTTTTTACTGATATCTGTGAGAAATCTCTTCGTGCTATTAAAGCTAGTCGAAATTCCGTCATAGTTCCCCTTGGAGCTCTGAAATTTGGTGTGTGCAGGCATAGAGCGCTTCTTCTTAAGGTGATTATCCTACTGTAATAACCTTTCCTTGCTTGTTCTTGTTGGGTCTTTCTGTAATGACTGGTTTTATATTTACTTGGATTTAACAAAGCTTTGATTACCTCAGTATTTGTGTGACCGAATGGAGCCTCCAGTACCTTGTGAGCTTGTGAGAGGTTACTTGGATTTCTTGCCTCATGCCTGGAATGTGATCTTAGTGAAAAGAGGCAATGCTTTGGTTCGAATGGTTGTTGATGCATGTCGACCAAATGATATACGAGAAGAAGCAGATCCTGAGTATTTTTGCAGGTAGGTTTCTCTTGTCAGTTCCAATGGCCTTGACATTTCTCCAACTACATATGCATGTTTAAGGATTGAATCTGAACGTCTAATGTTCCTGTGCACTTGTTTATTTATTTTATTGTTATGATAATGTAGATTCGTTCTTTATTATTCTGTATAGTGTTTGTTCTTAACTTTATTACACTTTGATTCAATTCCATGTTTCAGAATTCATTGCTTACAGTTTTGATCTGATATATTTATATTTATCTTATAACTTCTTGTCTGTTGTGATAGGTATATTCCTCTCAGTCGTGCAGAACTTCCTATTTCTTTCGGAATGTCATCCAGTCCAGGGTTTTCCTTCCCGTCTCTGTCCAACTGTGATGAGATTGAGAAGGCACCTTCTAGTTCTGTGATAAAGTGCAAACTTGGGTCAGTTGAGGCCGCTGCAAAGGTAACATTTTAGACAGATTAAAAAGTTTTGTTTATCTTAATGTTATGCTGTACTGATTTGAGGTATTATTTTAATTAGTATTGTGCTGTGCTGTGTGCTATATCGTTGCTTTTTTCATTTAGAAACCTTTGATGAGGTACATTTATTATGTGTTGGACATTGCAGTTACGGATGCTTGAAGTTTGTGAATCTTCATTTGATGAGATAAGGAACTTTGAATACAGTTGCTTAGGTGAAGTTAGAATACTGGGTGCTTTGAAACACTCCTGCATAGTACAGATGTATGGGCATCAGATATCTTCCGAATGGATTCCTTCTGAGGACGGAAAACTGAAGCGCCGGTTACTTAGATCTGCAATTTTTTTAGAGCACGTTAAAGGGGGATCTTTAAAGGTAAACTGTCGTATAGCTTGTTATGTTACCATTTTTGTATCAGTAATTGTTTTTCTCAATTTATGTTCTGTTTTGTATGTTGTAGAGCTACTTGGACAAGTTGTACCAAGCTGGGAAAAAGCACATTCCAATGGATCTGGCATTGCATGTAGCTCGAGATGTTGCAAGTGCTTTGGTAGAGCTGCATTCGAAACACATCATTCATCGTGACATCAAAAGTGAAAATGTTTTGATAGATTTTGATGAAAATTCTGATGGAGTTCCCATGGTTAAGCTTTGTGATTTTGATAGAGCAGTGCCCCTTCGATCTTCCTTGCACACTTGTTGCATTGCCCATACTGGAATACCTCCTCCTGATGTTTGTGTTGGAACACCTCGATGGATGGCTCCAGAAGTTCTACGAGCAATGCATACACCAAATGTTTATGGACTGGTATGTAGATTAGCATTTCACTTTTTCTTGTGGATGTGTTAGGCTTTCAGCAACGTTTCTTTTTTACACTACTGAGTCATTCTTGGTATGGTGCTATACATTTCTAACTATCTGTTCTGGCTTAGAGTGGAATGGAAATATGCCAATATGCCATGAAGTTGAGAAGAATTAGGAAAATAATGAAGTGTCCGGAAATGCTCTCTGGAAAATATTTATTTCTATCATAGAATGGGATTTTTTCTTTTTTTTTTTTCTGGGGGGGGGGGGGGGGGGGGGGGGTAGTTCTTTGTAGAAAAATATCTAGACCCCAGGGACCTGTCAGTTTGTTGTTGGGTGAATTATCCTTACACCTGTGCCACAACATTTCTCCAAAATCAGTGAATGTCTCTGCTGGAGTGGTGCTCTACAGCAGCAAGGCCTGTGGTAGCAACAACAGGATTGAAGACAAGCTGGATGCTAGGAATTGACACGTTGTTGGAACTACAGATGGACTTGATATTTCCCGCAAAGGGGTGTGGTAGGGGTGGATGTATATAAGGTATAGGCTTGCTGACTTTGAAGAAGAAAGAGGAAAATGCAGGGATAAGGTAATATACTTCCTAATGAGCTGGAAGAGAAGACTGATTTTTACACCCAATTTTTAACACAGTGAGATGGTTCAAACGAATGCCCAAAGCCCCACCCTTTTTTGTCAGGATTTCAATAGAGTTGCTTTTTATTCTGGATTTTTATTCTGTTTAGGGGGGGAAAATTGTACACAAACAGCTACCAATTTTTATGGTCTATGGGTGGGCCTACTTGGAGAAAACCCTCGCTACTTTCGAGAGCTGGGTGTCCCTAGCAAAACTTGGGCTATTAACATAGACAGCAGACGAACTTAAGGGACGGTGGGGAATAATTAGACTCTCAATGGGTTTGCTTCACTTGCATTTTAGCTTTGTCGATTAACCACTCCTCGATGATAAAGTGAATTTTAAGGGCAAAAAATTGTTAGGAATCCACAATTGTTAGGTATTTGTCTGTCTGCCACTGGTTCTTTTAACATATTTGGATAGGTCGGGGATAGGTAGCCTACAGGTTACAATTCTTTGGAACAAACATCTAACCTTACTATGTGACAACTGGCATCCAGCTAAATGTCAAACTCCCTGACATATGAAAGGAGGTAGCCTGGCATATGAAATATGGGGCTTGGGGGAGTCAGGAGGTTATATTATCTTTTTCCTGTAAAACCATTAGCAAGGACTGAATGGGAGATGCTAGGTGTCAGTACCAGGAAGGAAGTGGTGTGTGAGAGTGATGCAAGCTAAATATATAGCTGGGAACTGGAACGAGATGTGTTTTTATTGGGGTGTCCCAAACCTCTCAAATGTTTGGAGGTTTTGTAACTGCCCATTCACAATTTCTTCCATTCTTTTGTGTTCTATCAAAAATATATTCTTGCCATTTGGATTGTAATTTAAATTTGCATTCTGCGTCCATCCTGTGATTCCCCAGTACACTTTGCGAGTTAGTGTAGAAGGAAATTCATGCATCGTCTGATTTTCTCACACCACACATTTAGTTGTGCATTATGTTGTCAAGTTATGATGTCGATAATTTGATATTTCATTCTTGCCTTTGGTTGCAGGAAGTGGATATTTGGTCATTTGGATGTCTGTTATTTGAACTGTTGACTTTTCAAATTCCGTACTTGGGGCTGACAGAGTTGCAGATTTTCGATCAACTTCAGGTTTCTTTTACTCTCTTGATCTAGTTTTCCATTTCCCAGGACTTCTTTAAAAAGAATTGGATCTCATTTTTTTAAAAGTAAAATTGCCATTTAGATCCAAATTTGAAGGTGTAGGATTTTCCCTGATCAATAATTATGCCCTCAACCTGAACAGATGGGCAAACGACCAGAATTGATAGGAGAGCTTGAGGAGGAGGCACTGGGGTTGATAAAGGAAAGCTCAATGTCTCAATCTGTTCAAGAATCAGATGGTTCAGAGAAAGACCAAGAAACCAAAACATTCTTGATCGACTTGTTTTGCAAGTGTACTCAAAAAAATCCGAACGACCGACCAACAGCGGAAGAACTACACAAAATTCTGCTTGAGCACACAGCCAAAGTATAATCTTTAGAAAAACTAGCCACATGAAATTGATACCCTCAGCCGCCCCGTAACCTTATCCCAAATTTTTGAAGCCCTAGAACGTTTGTATTATGTTTCCTGGATCCTTGTAGTAGGGCCTTCTGTCCCCTGAATTAGTCGTAGTCTCACAGGTTGTTTTAGAATACAGTGGCTGGCGCTAAGTAAGTAAGTAGTAAAGGTAGAATATCTAATCGTAATGTAATTAAAACCCACAATTTTTTAGGCAAATTTACCCCCACATCCAAACCAGTGAGGAGAATTGATTCTGATGCAGTTGTGTGTAGAGAACTTGAGGGAGACATTTAAGAGAAACGTGGGATCCTCATTAGTTGTACCCCTCACCGTTGTCTTCAACATAATCTTATTATCAATTGTTTTCCCCATGCTTTCTTTGACCTGACCGTCCTTGATAAAGATTTTAGCTTTATCTGCTTTATACAGAGCCACGCGGATATCATCATAATCTTCATATTCCTTCACTGAATCCTTCTCTTTTCTCTTCATCATTCTGTTCGTGTAATGTAATCAAGTAAAAGAAAGAGTTTATTCTGAGTTTAGAATCTTGGCTTGACTGGTTCATCGTGTTTTTATTTTTTATGTTATTGATTAACACATGGGAGTAATAGATTCGAACCAATGACTTATTGATCAGGTTTGACTAGTTTATTGATCAGGTTTGACTAGTTTATCAGGTGTAGATGGACGTGTTCGAACACAGCAGGCAGGCGCGTAATTACAGCTTGATGCTGAAAAAGAAAAAGGTGTTCGACTTTCCTTCACAAATATATTAGACCGACACGACACAAGGATTATTCTGAATTTAGAATCTTGGGGGGAACCCTAATCCTAGGTAGGCATAGAACTTGAAGGTCCTTAATTGTTTAAATAAGAACCCTCTGCCCTTTTGAGCTTTCTTTAACCCCACAAACACAGAAAGAAAAAGGGTTTGCCTTTTGTGCCTTTTGCCATTGCCTCCTCGAATCCCACATAAGGACCACCCTTAAGATAAATGACCCCTCAATTTCTAGCCTCTCTAGGGGTTGTTGGGCTAACCCCTTTTAATTTTAAATTTTTAATCCTTTCATAAAGCCTAAGTCCACATTCACAATATTTTTTTTATATCGCTATCATTTTTAATCCTTTGCTAGCTCTTTCGAATTATTTAATTTAATTACTTAAATAAGCATAATTTTGGCTAAATGATTGTTTACTTTGTTGTATACAAATTAGGGGTTATATTAAATATTAAATAATTAGAAATTTTTAATATTATAATAAAGAATATAAGTAGTAGGCTTAGGTATTAAAGGTAAAATGGGCTTGTGAGATCCATGTTTCCCATTTGGCGTGCCTATTATGCATCAAAATATGTACCCAAAAAGGGGATATAAATACGCAAATGTTGGGATCTTCAAGTCTTGTATCAAATCATTAAAAATTCAATTTTTGTATTTAATAAGTATTTATTTATTTTGAAATTTTAAGAAATTGAATAATGATAAAATCATATTGGTGGATTTATATGCTACAAAACTATGCAAAATTGTGAGTTTAATTGCAAAGTTAAGATTCTTTATATTCTCATATTAAAGTAGTAAAGAGTATGATAATATACGTGAATAATTATTACATATATAATAAGCTTTACAAGTCACTCACCATGATAGTTCTTATTTTTTAATTACATGAGGTAAAAAACTTTTTTGAGGGCAAATTTTCAAACAAGGACACACTTTCAATTTTTAAACTAAAAAATTTAATGTCCACACGATTGTGATACATTTCTAAGAAAAAAATCATTTTGTGATAACCGAGTAAATTAGAGGTACACGAACGAATTGAGGTCATTTTTTAATGATAGCGATTATAAAGGTATGATGGTTAAAAAAAACTTACAAAAATTCTTTTAGGAAGTATGAGTGAGAATAAAACAAGACACTATATGTTGGTTTGTGGGAATAGTATTCACTCTCAGATAGTAGTCCAAGATAAGTATGTGATCATGTTGCAGGAATACAGAATAATGATAGGACTATCAAGTGTTGTGTGAGATCCCACATTGAAACGAAACATTCTTTATAAGCCTATGGAAATCTATCCCTAATTGACATGTTTTAAAATGCACGTAATAGGCCAAAACAAACAATATTTGCTAGCAGTGGATTTCGACTCTTACAAACGGTATCATAGCCAGACACCAGGATGTTTGCCAACGAAGACGCTGGACCTGAAAGTAGGTAGATTGTGAGATCTCATATTGGTGGGAGAGAGGAATAAAATATTTCTTACCAAGTGTGAAAATCTCTCCTTAAAAAAGCATTTTAAAACCGTGAGCCTGACAATAACACATAACAGAGCAAATAAACAATATCTACTAACGGTGGGCTTGTACCGTTACACGTCGAATCTAAATTCATATTAGGTATATTATGCATATTATGTATAACTTTAGAAGAAAAACAATAAACATATTCCATTTAATAAGCATTTATATCTATAAGATATGCTTTTCATTTTATATTCGCATGGGATTAAACAAATGATCAAGAGTATACAAAACCCAAAGCCTTTATTATAGCAACTCATATTCAGAATTCGGATTAAGATTGGATATTTGATGGTTTCGACATTCTCCTATAACATAGTCACGTTACTTACTTCTCGCTTCTAAAAGTGAAGACTATCCCCACATACCAATGCATGTATTTTCAACATGTTCTATTTTCACCCGACATAGAATTGCTTCAAGCAAAACATTTTTAGTTTTGAAGTTCTTATAACTGAGATATTGAAAAACAAAGGTGTATCTCGTTAGTACGAGTAGTAACTTTCAATTTTTTTAAAAAAGTTTTTGTTGTTCATTCTATCATTAAGATTGCTCTCATTCAAGTGTGGTTTTGGTTCATTCATGTACCTAATTTTTACTCTGTTGTTACATACATCGACCTCTTAAAAGGACACGGGCCATGAACATCCCGACCTGTATGAATATCTATGTCTTTGCTAAACTCGACTTAAGTATTAGTATTGATGTGACAAACATCACACAATGTGTTATTTTATCTTTCATAGGTCATATTTTTCGTGATTTGTCATCGCTAACACGGGCGATCGATCGACCTATCTATGCCAAGTTTAAAGTATAATTCAAATTAAAAACAAAAATGTTGAAAACCCTAAAAGTGACAACCAAGAATTTTCATGCACAAACGTTCCCATCTTTTTTGTTTGGCTCTTTGGATTGTTCTAAGAATAAAGTGTTCTTCGTTTATGGTGAAGCACATTCTAATCTCTGTCGGTCTCTCTCTCTCATAGCTAGAGAGAGAGAGAGAGAGTAGAAAAGGGCCTCCACGCCAATATAGGGTTCTCAAGGGGTAATTAATGCAAAAAAATGAACCCACCAAGCCCTTCTCTGCAAAAGAGCTGCATGAGTTAGGCTTGGCGTGATAATATTCAATTTGCACCAACAAGGGACCACTGTTTTATTTTTACTTTTCTTTTTAGTCCCTCCTTTTTTAGTTTCTTCTATTTATACCCCTCTTCTTCAACCTCTTGCTTCTCCATCCTAAACCCTAATTTCATCAGCTTTTCCCTTCAAATTATGGTGAATTACTAACAGTTGAAGCTGCCAGCATGATCTTAAATTTTCTCTCTCTTGTTTTCGTCGTTGAGGAAAGATCAGATCATGCGACAGTTTCACCTGTTGTCGTTTTTCCCTCACAAACCCTAATCCCTTCAAAATTTCATTTAATTTGGATCAATTCCTTTCATAATTGAGTTTTGTGATCCTTTTTCTGATAGGTTTTAGGGTTTAGGGTTTCGGTTTAGGGTTTAGGGTTTCATGATCTGAGAGAAATTAGGGTTTCTGATTCCCTCTTCAAAGCTTCTGATCATGGCGGCGGCCTTATCTTTATGCTGTTTCCAGCAACAGCCGACATGGGTATCCTTTAATTTTTCAAGATTTCATTACGCCATATGCATTTTTCTATCTCATAATTGGTTTTTGATTTCTTTTTTTCTGTAAGATTCTTAGAGTTGCAGTTTGTGTATTTCATGTAGTTTTTTGGGATTGCTGCCATGAACATTTCTACCCATGTTTTAAATCGGTAGCTACCTATTTAAGATTTAATATTCGTGTTCTAACGAACCGGTTTCTTTCTCGTGATCAAAATTATTTTCAGCTTGTGGGAGATCTTTATTTGGGTATTAATCGGGTTCGCTTCAATATGGCTTCCAACAAATTGATTAGACGAACAATTTAAAAAAAAGTATCGATATAAACAAAGATATTCTTAACTTCAAGAAACATGTAAAATAAAAATTGTTAAACTCAAATTACAGCTAATACCATGTTAAAGAAGAATCAAGTTCATTTATACAACAATAGATTCAGTTTACTTCATATGTTCATAGATGATTATAAACTTTTAGTTGGATTACAATCTAGATCTACAATGTTTCATTAATGTATTTTTCAGTATTAAAATTATTTATTTATTTTTAGTTATGTTTACGTGCTAATTATAGTTATAAAATATGAAAATGGCAAATCTTGAAATTTTTATTATTTTGAGTATAAAACCATATATAGAGTAAACTTAGAAAATGCATGACAAATAGTATTTATTTTATGCAATTCTATATAGTTCAAGTTCGTATGTTTAGAATCATTCAAATTTAATATTATCAATCTCACTTGAGTGATTTAAATCTCAAACAAATTTTCTTTATCTTAAAATAAAATTATTAGATCTATTATTTTGAAGTTATTATATTTTTTAGATCTAAAAATCTTATTTTTCAATAAAATTGTTACATCGAATTTTCAAGAACATTTAGATCTAATTTAGATCGAATTTTCAACCTGATTTTATATCATTAAAAAATATTTTAATTAGTTAATGAATCATATATATTTTTAAATCAATATTAGTTCATCTTTAATTTTTTTCAAGAGTAACGCATTCAGACTAACGATCGTTGGAAGCTTAAAAGACGAGCTCTTTTTCTCGCCCCTCTCCCTATCTCTAAAGGGGCATAAGCACTGAACTTGATAGGGCATTGGATTGGATCAAAAATTTTGTTGTAGACTCGAAATAATTCAACACATTAATAAGGCATCTATACTGATTCATTATGGAAGAACAGTTCTTTACAAATGTGGGTGAGAAGAGAACCTGTGATCTATGGCTGGTTGTGATCATTTATTTACAAGGGAACTAATGCAGAGGAAGCCGAACCTTTCCCGTCATCGCTCCGACTACGAGCCTCCCCTTTCCTTGGTGGTTCCGATTTCTAACAGTAAAACATTACTCTCTTCACATTTTCCTTTAGCCTCCCCTTTCCTTGGTGGTTCCGATTTCTAACAGTAAAACATTACTCTCTTCACATTTTC